CCTAGAACTTAAATATGGATAATTCATGTTTTGTTAATGGAGAAGCAAATCTTTGTGCTTTTTATGGAAGTAGAAGTAATTCATTAAGACGTAGCTGGTTGAGCTCTTTCCAACGAGAGGATCCTGCCGCAGAGAAAGCTACCTGACAACTTTCCAATATGGAAAGGCGGATGACGAGCATAAGGAGGCAGTACGTAACCTGTTTTCAATTTCAATAAAACCCACAAATTTACGAATACTTCAGTAAAATAAGGGATAGGAAGTTCCTTTTGTATTAAACGACTGATCAAAATGCTGTCGTCTCAAATTCACTATTTCATAACGTTCTACCATAATTCGTTATTGCATTATTGGTATCCTAATATGGCAGTTCGTTTTCAAATAAGGCCTCTTCAGCCTTGTTTACCAAACAAAACGTTTTAATAACGCGCACGAGACGTTTAAATGAAAACGAATTTCATAAATATTTGTTGCATTTTCGAAATCTACATTCATACACTGAACACAACTGATGAGTTTGTAAAGTGCTTTCGAATTATGATGTGCCTCGGATACTGTGAGTTCTTTCAAGAAAAGACACAGTGTTTGAAACAACTTTTAAAGGTGAGGCTTTCGAGCATTTTAGAAGGGACCAAGTGTTAAGCGGTTAGCCTGATATATAGGTTGATGAAACAAGCATTTGGACCTCAGTCTGGAAGATCATCAAGTACAATACCTTTTCTTGGTTTCGGATGATGAAAATGTGGACATTAGATAATCAAATTTATCCATGGGCTATCTAGATCTGGCATATGTAAATTTTAACGTATTTGGAATTGTCAAAATGCTGAAAATGTCCAGAGTGCGTGCGAACCAAGGAGTGTCAGACAAAGTGTCGTGCTTTTTTAATTGAGACTTACTTTTAAGAGGAAGCATTTCTGAAATTTAAAGGCTTTGCACAAGTATCTGGATCTGGATCTGGAAACACCCTTATCCTCTTGAAATTGTAGCTTCATTCCAATGACAGAACGACATTGGTTACAACATCTGAACTTGGTTGTAAAAGACAATGATCGACAGTTGCAAGAGACTCCAGTGACATATTTCGGTTTCTTCTCGGATCGTCAGAATTCAAAAAATGTCAAGGTCCACTGTTGGAGAATTTCCTATATTATACGTTTTTGGTCGCACAAACTTTGAAGAGAGGAAGAACCTGATACATTTCAGGGTTACATGAATTCTAAGAAAGTGAATCTAAAAAAATAACTGCAGAATTGGTGGAATTTGAACATTTGAGGAATCACAAGAATCTGAACAATAAACTAACGTGATGAATTTGGAAATTTGAATAAATCCGAAGAGACTGAATAACCCGGAGGATTTTAAGAATCTGGAAGATCTGGAGAACCAGAAAAATCTGAAGAAGTCTAAAGATTGAAAAATCGAAAATGAAATAGTAAGAAGAAATTGAAGAATATTCATGCTTAATGTAACCTGGTTGTGCAGTGCTGCCATGGATATGATTAAGTGCAGAGGAGAGGAATTCGATTTTGAATAGCCGAACAATCTGGGATCTAATGAATATGAAAAAACGACGGAATCAGAATCCAAACAGATATTCTGCGGGACCTTAAGTGTACGATGAGTTTCAAAAGATTTGAAGAAGTTAATCTGAACATTTTGAAGTCAACTAAGTACAGAATTTCAGTCCATGAACCTGCAGACAAATGAATCAAAAATTGGAAGGAAAGGAATCTAAAGAAATCGAAGGAACTTAAATTGAAAAATTTGCAATTTAGAAGAACTTAAAACTTTGAAGTCTAAACAACTTTAGGGATCTGCAGGTTTTCAAGAATTTGGGAAATTTGAGTAATTCGAGAAACGAAAGAATCCACAGGAATGTACCTAAATGTAATGAATTTGAACATTCTAACGATTCCGAGAACCGGAAAATATGTTGAATCAGAAGATACCTAAGGATGTGAATTGGAATATTTGATAAACGTTAAGGGATCTGAAGGAGAAAAGGATACCTACAGATCCGTTATTTGCATGCACTGCACAGGAGACTGTGAAATTATCATCGAAGCTTCAATTGACGAGGAAACCGAAGATGAAAACCAGACCGCCGATGACTATCTTTTCGTTACTGTGGATGGTGGAGAAGAGGAGCGTATTGAAGAGGCTACCGCAGAGTAGAATATAGAAGAGGACGATGACACAAAACCAAATGCCAGAAATTGCCATTGATCAACCTGGCCGTCCCAGAATATCCAAACGATTCAAATAGTTTAAAATGACACTTATGGAGTAGACGAAAATAATTTATTACTATTATAGTAGATAATTCATAAATAATGCTTTCATAAAAAAGTGTAATTTCTTGTGAAAAGGGCGCGTTTTTGCGATTGTAAGGAATATGCCACACTTTGAAATAACATAACTCAAAAACCACTACGTCTCCCGTTTCGCTCTTCTTTATTTGTTAACTACTTTGTCCTTTGCGTTAGAGTTGGAGTATACTCTTTCACCCATCTACTCCAAAATTCATTTACTACTCCTTTTCCTCTTCTTCTTCGTCTTCCTGATATTAAATCTTCTTCGCTAATGACGATCCGTAAGTTCCCAATTCTGCTCAATAGGAAATGGTGTTGTGTCAGCACTTCTTCCGTTTCGGGGTCCGCGGTACGTACGTTAAAGGTCTCGAATTTATCATATCTTCGATCTTGAGCCAAGACGCATCCTCTCTGGGAAATTTTTCCTTTAGAATTTTAGCTGAACCTTTTTTCAACGAACGAAGCAAGCAGCACTTTTTTATGCTTCTATTCCACTAAAATGTATTGTTTTTATTAATCCGAGTGCAAAGGGTCTATTTCTATTATATAGTTACCTTTCTTGTTATATTCCATTTGATAGTTAACTAAACAAAACCCCACTGTCCGGCGATTTGCAAGAATCTTCGGGAAAATTTTTTGAAATGGTTGTCTTAGGGTTCCACTATTTGCAGAAAAAATTGAGAACCCTCTGGGACCCTGCAGTTTGAAAGACAAAGCATCATTTTTTTAATTTGTTTATTTAATTAATCAATGCCTATCAAATAACTACTAAAACTTATGGTGATCGGGTTTGTCGTACGGTTTTGTTATCAAAAGAAGTGGCTAAATACGGATTTTCAAAAAGATCGGATGAATTTTCTGAATGTACAAACAGATTGTTAATTTTCCAGATTCATTTTTTATATTTTCGATAAAACACAATAACGTTTGAAGAGGAAAGTGTGGCAATGATATTAGATTGATAGATATTTAGATACTTTATTTCCATGTTCACCATTGGATATACACAAAAACAAACAAAAAATATTAATTTGTATATATTCTAATAAATAATAAACCAAAACGAATAAATAAGAGTAGATGAACCTAGTAGGTACCTCATTAAACAGTTATTGTTGTTGTGAGGTTACCATCACTTAAAAAACAAAGTTAAGAGTAAGTAGTACTAGTTGAATTTCAGTGAATGAAATTTTTACTTGAAATCAGTATACAGCAGTTTAAATCAGTTTTTCCTCACTCCAAAAGAATCATGTACCTACTGGGATCGCATATATAGTGGCAAACAAAAAAAAAACATCTTACCCCAATTAGAAAAAGAGCTTTGGACTCTTAACGAAAGTGAAAAAAACTGTTTGCTTCTAAATTATTGCTATAATAAAGGAAATGGATTCCAAATTAGGAAAGAAAAACGAATAACTGTTGGATTTTGATATTAACATGCCTACTGAATTCACAAACGTTGTGAAGCATGAAATCTCAGTTGAGGTATTTGCGACCGCACTAACAGGGATGCACTTTTAGTACCATTTTAATTAAAAATAGCATTAATTTGCATACATTAGTTGGAAACTCAGTATACGTGGCGATAAAATGAATGTGGGTGGAGAACATCAAACAATCCCCTGCGAAGAGCTGGAAAATTAGCGCGAAAGAATATTTGTTGGGGGTAAGTAAGGATATGCGAAAATATTTACAAATCCTGGAAGGTGTACGCGCAATCTTCGGAAAATGCTAAAAATGCGTTGCGCGAACTTTAATTAAAAAAAGGGCATTGAAATTGGCCGCGTTTCTCTCGGTCTTTCCGCTATCGCGCAAATATAAAATTACCTAAATAGAATCTTTAAACAAGTAGCTCGAAAACGGACTTACGTATATACCGGAATAAAAGTAACGAAAAAGCGTCGCTGTTTTTTGTAGAAATTGCGTCCAACTGGCCACTATCTTTCTTTTAGTATTAATCAAGCTGCTGAACATCTTTTTTGAACAAAAAATTATTAATTTTCTTTTCTATACCTACTCGTAACTTGAAGGGATTCTTTGTGTTTGCCCAGTCCGTACTTGTTTTTCACCGCCTTACAAAATGTTAATTATTTTTATTTAATAAAAAAAGAATTCGCAGTTTTCATTTGGTATGCGATGAAAACACTCGTGGGTTATCTTAATAAATTATGTACGCAACCTGTTGTGGGGGTGGGATGTGCGTGTGTGTGGTTATTGAAAGTGATCATCTGTTGCCTTTGAAAAATCTTATGGTTTCGCTGGGGCGACCGCATTCAAACTCGAATTTTCCCGCATCCGTTCGTTAGGTAACGATTTTTAAGCCGATTCATTTGTACAGTTGCAAATGGCGTAACGGAAGATTGAATTTTAAGTTATAATATACAAAAAGGGAACGTTTCTCATTTCCATAATAACGGGAGCGACCGCTAATGTTTTATCTCGTGGTACAAAAGCATCTAATAAAAATATCCCTCACGTTGTTTAAGAGCAGGGAGGGTTATAAACGTTTCAGCGATACGAAAAGTTATAACATCGAGCGCTATTTTTAAATATCCGTCAGTATTTTATAACTCCATTTCTCTTAAACGGAACGGTTTAATGGTGGTGGATGTCGACAATGGAATTAAGTGAATATCTCTAGCCGATTATGTTTTATTGTTATGATTATAACACAAGAAGGTAATAACGGTTAACAAAAACTTAGTGTTTTCCATGAGCAAATCCGTATTCCTTTCCGCCGGAGTGGCCGCCTTTCTTTCCGTAATCGTCGTGGTGTGCGTAGTGGCTTTCGTGTCCGTGGTGGCCCTTGTGTCCCTTATGGTCTTCATCGTAATGCCCTTTGTCGTGGTGCCCTTTCTTGCCGTAGTGATCATCATGATATCCACTCTTGTGATTCCCGCCTTTCTTGTGGTGGCCAGATTTACCTCCGTGGTGGCTTTCATGGTGGCCATGTTTAGCGTGGTGACCGCCCTTGTGGAAATCATCGTAAAACTTGTGCTCCTTGTGGTAATCGTCTTTGTGCGACTTGTGATGATACCCAGTCGTCTTGTGACCTTTCTTGTGCCCCTTCTTCTCACCGAACTTGCCACCCTTATGACTTTTTCCAGCCTCGTGGTGTTCCCCGTAGTGGCCGGCCTCATCGTGGTGCCCCTTCTTGTGCCCACCCTTCTCACCGTAATGCCCAGCATGATGCTCCTTGCCGTGCTTCCCGTGCCCTCCCTTGTCGTGATGATGACTACTTTTGTATCCTTTATCGCCCTTTTCGCCATGACTCGCATGATGCTCCGCATGATGCTCACTACCACCACCGTGCTCATGGTGTTTTCCATGACCAGTAGCGGCCACTTCTAAATCGACCACCTCGTCATCCCTAAACGATTTAGCTTCACACACGAGAACACCCAGACACAAAACCAGGCATGTTACTAACAACCGCATATTGATTAAAGGACACCGCCGAACTGATGTGACAAATATCTTGCAGCGGGTATTTATATCGGTAAAACTTTCCAGAACCCAACTTCTTAAAGTTAATTTCGCATTTTCCGCTAGATTAGGTTTGTTTGTTTTTATAAACTGGCGATAATCTACACCAGACTTGCATAATGGCTTTCTCCTGGTTTGATGCTTGGATGAATTCCTAACTATTGTATAATACACCCGCAATAATATCTTGAGACCGAGTATTAACTAAAATTCGTTATGTGAGACGAAATGGACTTGTCCCTTTGTAGCTTTAAACAATCGATGCCTTCCAGGTCTTACTAAATAGTGAAACAAGAATTTTCTTGAAAATGGGATCTCAGACGTTGCTAATGAAATCGATTCCAGGGATTTTGTTGAGAGTTTAAGACCCTAAGTGCACTTTAGATTTGCAATCAATAAACAATAAGAAGCGGATTACAGCGAAATTACAGTAATGATGTGTTCTAACAATTCGTTGAATTCCTTGGATATAAGTAAAAAGAGGTTGTTGCTGTTTTCTTTTTTGTTCGCTTTTTTATACGTTCTGGCCGTCTACATTTTACTGCTATCCAGCAAATAATTCTCGTCTTAAAAACAAAATGAAATAGATTCGACATTGTAACAATGGAAGTATACTATCTATACCACACAAGGGCAAAATTTATTAGCGTTTTTTTGTTTATACTATTTCCACAAAATAAATACATAATTGTAATTGTAGGATTATACGTAGTAGCTTTCCTCGCGTTAGCCTGGCCCTTCGCCCATCTCGTCATTACTAATATTCTGATAAGGTGATGTATATAGGGCGTTTGATATGCGAATATTTAAATGAATCACGCACGCCACTGTTAAGGGTTTTATATTAAAAAAATGTCATTAAATATGATTGAAATATATTCACTAATTTTCGTAACGGAACATCTTTAAACCTAAGTTTAAAAAAGAATCATATTTTTCCTACATTTGGAGAACTTAGAGGGGCGTGGGGCAGGGCCGTAGCTAGAACGAAAATTGTAAGGGTGCAAACGAAATGTTGGAGGGTGCACTTATTGTTTACAAAAATGAAGTCTCGAGAGACTTGTTTGTCAAAAAAGCAAAAAATATATTAAAAAAACCAATTTTATCCAATATATATCATATATTAAAAAAAACAAAAGATGTAACATAAAATAAACGTAACATAAATATAAGTAAATCGAATCAATAGCATACATAAAAATATTAGATAAAAATATAGTTTATCTAATACAATTTATTTATAACAATAGAAAAAAGCTGGAATATATTCATTAAAATAGTTGCAACCTTCTCTCTTTGGCATTATGAAATTCTCTTACAAGTGTGTTCATGTCTATATTTTTAGTTCTTTCCATTTCGAATGTAATCAGCGATGTTGCCAACTTGTCAAGCAAGAAACAAGCCTAGAGCTAGAAAACCCATAACTTCAGATTTCAGATATGTCTGAATCTGAGTTATTTACACTTGTTACTTTTGAATCAAATTGCATAATTCTAATAACCATTATTGTACTCATACTACCAAATGTAGTATGTAGGTATTATAATTATCAAGAATAATCATTTTTATTCAATTTTATTGTAATAATTATTATTATGAACAACAATACTATTGTATATTTGTGATAATTAATTTACAATGTACAAAAATAGCACGTTTTTATTTTACGATTCTGATCGTGATCGGTCAGAGGGTGCCACTTAATATCCAGAGGGTGCCTACCCCCCTGGCTACGGCCCTGGCGAGGGGGGGGCTGAAGGAAGGGGAAGAGAAAAGCATGGAAAAAGTGATGGCGGATGTTAAGGACGAAATAAGAAGGACAGCTAAGGACACGATTGACCAAATAGAAACAATGAAGGAGATAACTGAGGAAATGAGAGGATTAAGGGAGGAAATGAAGAGAATGAGAGAAGGATAAAGAAGAATTGATACGAAGGATAACTAAAGTAAAAGAAGATAATGATTGAAAGGAGAGAGAAGGTAAGGAACAGCATATCTATAAAAGGAGTGATGATGGAAGAGGGAAACGGAGGAATGGCTTAAAAGAAAAACTACAAGCACAGATTTATAGTATAAAGTAGAAAGGTAAAAAGTATGGGAAATGATGGAGGATGGGAAAATAAATAGAAATTTAAAGAAGAGAATCAAGTATATGGAGAGACAAGAAGTAGGGTAAGGATAGAAGGGAAGGAGTCTGTAGTGTTCTGGACAATAAAAGGATGCTCACTACGCCTAACCTTATTTAATTTCTACATAAGGGAATATGGAGAAAATATTAAGGACAGAATCGTGATGGGAAAAAGAAAGATGAAATAAATGATGGGAAGAATAGAGGTACTTTGAAAAAAAATGTAGAAAATTCGAAGATGATGAGATTTGGGAAAGGGGGAGGTAGGAAAAGGGTGATAAAATAGAAGTGGAAGGGCAATGGGACAAGCGCACAAATCAGGGAAGTAAGAAAAAAGGCAAAAGTGGCGATGGGACAGGTATGGTTAATAGAAGAGAGGAATGTTTTCAGATTAAAAGCAAACACCATTTTGATGCAAATGTGAGAGGGGGGCTGATGTATGGAACGGGGGTATGGGAATGGAAGGATTTGGATGGAGGAATACAAAGAAGGTACTACAAATGGATACTGGGACTAAACAGAAGGATGACAAATAACATATTAAGAGCAGCGCATGAAAATGGCCGGGACGCAGGGCAGTAAGAATCGCGGAATGGAGAGAAAGGGAAGGTGCATTGGTAAAGGAAGGGTTAGCGACGAGGATGAACACAAAAGGGATTTGGTGAGAACAACAAAAGGAAAATCATTACGAAAGAAACAAATACGGAGGGGCAGCGGTCGAAATAATCCTAATGTTCGTGATGAGGAAGGGAGAAGTGGAGAGAACAGGAAGAAAGGAAACGTGGATTATGCGGAGAGAAAGAGGAAGACCTCAAAATAGAATGCAAAGATGTATAAAGAACAGAGAAAAGTAAGGGAGGAGAGGTGGATGAAGAGAATATTAGGAAGAGAAGAAATTAATAGTACTTTGTGTACCAAGGCGGGAAAGTGGTTGTTTTCCGGGGCGAAGGAAGATATGGCCAGGCGAGGCGCAGCCGAGGCTGGCCACTTCCTGAGGCCCGGAAAACAACTTTCGTGCCGTGGTGCACACAATATTTTTTATCCTATACACTTACATTTAAAATTAATCGCTCAACAACGTCCGACCGCAAGCGCTTGAATTTGGATTTGCTTTAACGCGTCAACGTGCACGCGTTTGTTTTGTTTATTTCCACGTTTCCTGCTGACTACGCGAAAAAAATTTTACGAAACGGTGCAATCTAAGTGGGCCCACGAGTATATTTTTTACTAGTAGATTTACCCCTTTCCCTTATAATACAGTTCAACGCAAATTCAAATTCTAGCGCGCTTGCGATTGCACAGTGCGGAGTCACCGAAGGGAGTCACGGTGCAACAGAGCAGAGGTGCAAGTAGAGAATACCGATCATGTGCGAACTGAGTTGACATTTCCGGCATTTCACTGGCGCGTGATTATTTCCTTAGAAAATAACGGGATTTAAGGGGTTGTAATTAATACCAGGCGCATATGTAATTATTACTGGTCTTCTGTATTAACAAATGTGTTTTAAAATTGAATGTGTGTTTTCAGGGACAAAATCACACCGGTTACATTTTAAATCCTTCGCAGTATCCATGTCTTGTCAAATGTTAGATGCTTTTAAGACTGGATTTATGCTTGGCGACGAAAGCGCAATGGGCACACTTTAAATCCTTGATGATCTTGTATTTTAAAAAAATGTGTTTTATAAATAGATTTATTCATTCCTTACAGTCACACTGGACACATTTTAACTTCGGGATAGTCTCGTATGTTAAAATGCTACTTATTGCGGATAAGCGGTGTTCTACTTACAGTGCAAAGTACATCTTGGTGTTAAATGTATTGACACAGATGCTCGTTATTGAAAGTACATGGAAGATTATGACTTAAGTTTGAAACGTCTGAATTGGTCACGTGATGTTGTGGAAGTATTCAAATTCACGAAACATTGATAGGTATAATTATAGAGGTTCGCGGTAATTAAATAAATTCTTGAATTCAGTAAAATAAAGTGAACATAGGGTAAATTTAATTATTAAATCAGTGTTGACGATTTTATGTTTCTTATTTCTTATTTAATAAAAAGAAATAACTTCTTTGACATTTTATTACAATCGCGCCATCTAGCGTACATAAGGCGTATTTTTTTTCTCGCCTAGCCGACAAAATTGAATTTTCTCGCTCCATGCGTGCAATTGTCTTCTTTCCCGTCCTCACACAGGCGAGAAAATGTAAGTTTCTCCTTGTATAGGATAAAAAATATAATGTAATGTAAATTTTGTAAAAAGTCTGCCATTTGGCGTAAATAAATATCTTCTCTATCTATAATAATTTTTTTATACAGAATCGCTCCTTGATGCCCAGAATATGATTAAGGAAACACCTTATAGAGTAATAAATATAAAATAAAATAAATATAATATAAACGTTGTCACTATTTTTGACTAATTATGGAGTAATGTTGTTGTATAATTAGCCTTTTCGTGGAGGTATCGAGTAATACCATTTCCGAATTCTGAAAAATGCAGGTTTCATAGACGACCTTCATTTCGCGATTTACTATCTCCCAAAATTGATGCTATTGTTTATATTGCTGTGATCTTCGATCTTTGGGCCACATAAAAAAATTATTTCAATGCCTCACGTTGGGCTGTGATGATCCAATGCCCCAAAATCTTTGAGTGTCCGAGTTGAGCCAGTGATTCAATTCAACTCGTCAGTCATATGGCTATAAAGAAACACTAAACCTCAAATGTTGATTAAATAGAACGAAGCGAAAGACTACCCTTAAGCGTTCTACAAATGATTTTAGAGGTAAGATTACTTAATCATATAGTCTTTTGGTCTTTTGAA